GGTTCAAATCCCGCCGAACGCCTCCAGTTTTTCACAATTGGGTCAACTCAAATTAAGCACATCTGCCAAACCTCCTAATAATTTAAGACTGCTGCTGGTGATAGTGCTTTTTGGCAGGCATAGTCGTTGCAGGCGTCTGTAGTCGAACGCTAGGCGACTGCGTACGAGGTCTCGGAAGCGAGTTTTAGGGCAATAACAGAAGAAACATATTCCTTTACCAGAATGGCGAGTGCGTCACTTCCATCATATTTCCGATCGAAACCGACAAAAGAACGATCCCGTGATACAGATATAGAGCGTTGCACTCCATGATCAAGTTCCTGCGTTTTTATCTTAGGTGATCCACATCCGAGATTGGGTAGGACTGGCTGATGACGGCTAGTAAGCCGGAAATGGTCGTTCCGGTCCTTCTTAATTTATTTGGTTTCATCTTATCATATTCTACAAGTCGCCATGTGACTGCCTACAAGGGGTCTATAGTGAACTCCACGGCACAACGGAACATTCTTGTTCCTTTACCAGATCGCAACCGACAAATTAACGAACCAAATTTGCAGTGGTGGACTGTTGTACTCCATGACCAAAGCCCCGAGTTTGAACCTCGGGATCTTGTGGATGACAACTTTCCGGTCGAGATAGACAACCCTATCTTTAGAGCGTATAAGCTGCTTGCGTACAGTAGTCGTCAGTTTGTGCGCCACTTTTACTGCGTTGTTCCGCATGCGCCTTTAAACCAGTTCGTACACATTCCTTTTTTAAGGAAGGCTTAGCCATGTATTTGTTTCTGGCGCCTGAATGGAACAATCTAGTTCATTTTCTCTGAAGTCTTGTTTTTTTTTCAATGTATCAATATACAAAGTCTCTGGGGTTGCAATTTCGGGAAAAATAAATAAAACAAATAATTCAGCTCTACTCAGTAGGTTTCTTCGTCAGAGTAGTTTGTCTTCACTCGATGTGGTAGATTGTTGGCGGCATTGGGTGTTTGCTTTCATAGTGAAGAATAACTTCCGCATATGTTTTCTTTTGGTAAACGGACACGCATATTGTTCTGTCAGCCTTTTACTGCACGAGAGCATCTAGATTTGGGACTCTGTTATCAACTTCCTACTCGATTGTATTTTAATTATCGGAACGGTTGAGTATCCTATTCACAACTTAGGGTTAACTAAGGGACAAGCCCTTGATTCCAGCTTCTGCATTGTTACCTCGGCAAGGAACCCAGCTATAAGTGATCCCATTGGAGCTCCATTTAACTATTGAGAGTATTGACGGTCGAATGAAAAATTGGTTTATACGCAAATGCCTGTGAGTTCAAGGAAGGCAGCTTCTGAAACTTCAGTTTCGTAGGCCTTAAGGATGTTGTTTGAACACTACCTTGCTAAATCTAATGGTATATATATTAAAAAAGAAACGACGTCAAAAGAGACCATTATCTCATCCACGGAGATTGTGGCTCATTTCAGTTTTTCTAGAGGCCCTACATAATTGTGAACGAAAATTTCACTATCCGTTGTAAGTGGATAGAGTTGACGGAACAGCCACTTAGCTATTTTGTAATTTAGTCCACCGGGCATATAGTTACTCGGAATTGCATTAGTTCACGTCCCAACTCCTAGTTGAGATCGAGGAAACACTAGGCCTGCGCGTAATTTCTGACCAATTATTAGTGTCAGTAATAGTACCATCACTACTATCACTCAACTACACTGCTAGAAAGCAGTAGTATTAATAGTAGTAGCAGTAGTAACAATATCAGACTCGGAGTATTTCTAGATACCTGCGGAAGGTGAGTGAGAGTAGGTTGTGCAGTAGCACCAACGCAAAAGGCTACTCTCATTTAAGAATAAGCTAAGCGGTGTTTCTGGCCTGCATTGGAGAAAGCGGATTACGCCCGAGCCCTGCTCTGTTTTCTCGACTCTGTCTTGTCACTGGTTGAAACGGAATGAGGGTTTAGAATGTGGTAGATGACTGCAGGTCTACTTTCACTAACTCTGATTACAGTCACCATCTCTGCCATTTGAGCATATGGTGGACACCACCAAAAGCTATGGTCCAACTATCAATGCAGGAGTATCCAAACATCTATGAAGTTTGGCAGTAGTGCTTCGATAATTATTGTACGTTTTAACTGGAATCACAGTGCCTGCACCAGAAAATGAGCACTATTGAATAGAGTAGATAGTGAGTAAACGACGCGTCCTCCAACGCAACATGGATAACCCTTTTGCTATACAATGAGTTGTATCAGAACTGTCGTCTATCGCATTGAAGCAGACTATGGTGGCAACGAGAGTTGAAGCGCACCATTTGCTACTGACGAATAGAACGACTGGAGGTCTAATTTTAGATGACAAAGATTCATGCTGTTCTCCTAACATCAGTGTGAGATCCAGCTAGTGAACTGACTCACGCAGAATGCCGAAATTTACGAAAGCTTAAAAATCACTCACAAAACCCCCGCCAACGCATTGATAAGGGCTTTGGAATCATAATATACAACTCCAATTGAATGTAAAGTTTAAATAAATTATGAAAAGTAGTATTACTTTATTTAGAAGAAGAAGCGCAAATGACCATTTCTAGCTCGTTAGCAGTCGTAGGTCAACCACACCAAATCTCGGGTGTGAATCACCCAAGATTTGACGCTCGAAACTTTAGTTATGGAGTGTTAAGTAGTCCAAAACCTCTGTCATGCAGCAAAGGGTCCCTTCTCGTATCAGCTGCTATTAGGAATATTAATCATTGCGGTCGAAAGGACTTATCCGGTTTTGTCTTTTGCTTAAACCTGGATCACTGAAAAACAGTGACATAGCTGTAGTGTGCAAGCAGTCAGCAGGCAATCTCAGAGAGAATTCCTTTAGGAAACAGTTGGTTTATTGAGATTAGGAGCGAACAGGAACAACGAAACGCAAAAAGGGTGCGGGGTAGCAAGAAGTCGAACGAGAAAGGGGGGGGCACTGGGAAGAAACCACAGCACTTTGCTGAATCACAGCCGGGAGAAAACGAAATTGGCTAATTAGGCCTCGTCCTCGGTACC